TTGGGCCATGGCATGCTGCCTGCAGGAAGCGCAGATTGACACGGGGACTCTCTTACTGAATCAGTGTTTGGTTTAGCTTTTGTTTGTTTGGCTTGGTTTTGTTTACGGTTTTCCAGCCAAGATTTGATTTACTTTGGAGTCTTTAAAACTAAAAAGCACAAGTGACTCCGCTTCCTTTGGGCATGAGGATAAAAAAAAATATAAGCGTGTGTGTGTCCGTACACATAATTCCAGCCTCAATTTGCTCAGAAGGAATTTCACGTTGAGTTTGCTCCTACAAGGTCCCTGTGGGGCTGGGGTCTCTAGGTGCAGCTGTTCCCTGCCAAGCATGCACACCAGAAGCTCCAACCAAATTTTTCCATGTATCCTGTCAGCTCTGTGAAATCCTCACCCTCTCCTCCTGAGGTCTCCAGAGGAGCCCCTCTGGGAAGCCGGGCACGGTGAGGAGCGCGGTGGCCGAGCTGCTTTTTTCTGACAGCAGAGCGTGACCCCACGCGGTAAAAGCCCGGGTGGTGGGAAGGGTGCCTCTCCTTTGAGCAGGGGAAAACACTGGGATCACCAGGAGAGGGGGGAGGAGGAGTCCTCAGCTCCCCTCTTTGAGAAAGCTCCCTCTTTGGGAGGCAGCCGGGCAGCAGATGGCCGGGCTGCGGCGCTGAGCTGTCAGGGGTGGATCATTTCTCTGGCTGTTCTGGGCACTGAGACCCATGGTGGAGAGGAGCCCCTCCCTCAACTTGCTCCATCTTCTTTATGCCCTGATTTTCTTGCAGCTGCTACTAAAGATCACAGGCAACTTGAGCTGCAGCCTCGGTGGTGCTCTGGTGGATTGTCTCAGGCTGTTCCTCCCCTTTGACACAGATGTGCTAGGTCGTGTCCTTCCCTGTGCCCCAGATTTCCCTTTGTATATGCAACATACCATTAAAACTTTCAACCACAGTTGCAATTCAGCTTTGACCTCCTTTCTAATCTTTGCAAAAAAAGATAGGGACCTCTGACAACAACCCTGCGGTTTCAGAGCGTATCCAGGGATAAGAGTAAGAATTGCACTGGGCTCTTGAAAAAATCATCTGCACCCATGTGAGGTGTACCACATAGATATGAATGTACCATTCCACCAGTGCCCCACTACAGCTATCCAAATTGCTTTGCACATCAGGGGGCAACTGCAAAGCAAGGGATGTTTTGACAAGTGAGGGGAAAGTTTATCTCAGCTTTATGAAATATTAATGGTGCTAGTCAAGTTGGCATGGGAGAGGTTTTAGAAGTTTTAGTACCTTTTCTAATGTTATAGCTGGTTTCTGTAGTGCTTTTCCTTGGTTAGTGAGCTGTGTGGAAGATGCCCATGCAATGCTTCAGGAAGTGGTTGAGATGTGGTGAGAGTCATGGCCCGTGCTCTCACACTTTTCTTGGAAATTGTTTCTAAGACTCCCAATTTACTTTTGGAAGAGGGTTGGTTTTCCTTTGGATACGTGCCCTGAGACACAGAATGTGCCCATGTACCAGCTCAGCCTCCCTGGGTTGTAGAGTTCAACCTCCAGTTTGTAGAGAAAAGGACATGACTGAACTAACGCTGCCTCCGCTTGCCGAGTGCTTTTACACATCTCAGTGATGCTGAGAACCTCTGGAGAAGAGATACATCTGTCTCCTCAGCTCAGTGATTTCCTTCCTGCCTTCTTCCCACTTACAAAAGAGGTTTTGGAGGTTCTCAGCTGCAGCAGAGACTCGGTAGGACTTTCAAGTGTGTTGCTGTCCTATTACTGAGCTTGAAAGAAAGGTATTTTTAACAGACTGTTTCCAGGTAATTCCATTCTTGGATCCAGTCTCTCTGATTCTTGGGTTTGAATTTTACAGGTAATTCTAAAGTTCCAAGTTATTCCTGCTCTGCACAAGGAAGAACCCCAAGGGCAGGGTTCTCATAGATTGCTGTCCTCCCTGTAGATTTTCTTCTCCAAACCAAGAGAGCTGTTTCAGAAACTTTTTCAAAGGGAAACATAAGAGATGGGATAAGTGAAACAAACTCTTAGGTGTGGCAGCCCAGGGTGAAGATGAGCACCTTACATTTGTCTGGAGAAAAGAGGTCAGTTCCCATTAAGAGGGAAAATATAAATTGGGTAAGATTGAGAGTGATTTGGAATGCCTTGAGACATCTGTTTCCCATCTCTGGTTCTCATTTCTATCCTTATTCAAAGCGACAAATGCACAGTAGCTGTCTTTGAAAATTGATGGGGGTAGGAACTCAAAAGTACTCTTAAAAACAGAGCTTGTACTGCACTGAACACCGGGTGGATGGCGGAAATTTCTAGTGTTAGCCACTTATGTGAAAGTCAAACTAAGACCAAATTGGTTAAATCAACAGAGCCAGTCCCTAGGGGGAAGGAGAGTTACATAGGCAAAGATTTCAAATGATCTTCTGGAATTAAATGGCTTCCTGGATCAGTTTTCTTTGAGAGCAGCCAAAATGATAGAGGAAGATAAGTGAACTCATGCAAGTGGTAAAAGTATCTGTCTGGTCCATGCCTTCCTGCTTTTTTTTTAGGTAGGAAAAAAAAAATAGAAGTAGATAAAACCCTTTTACTTTTGTGGTTTCTTCCTGGCAATCCTTTTCATCCACTAGTTATTCAGGATCCTATGGAAACTGCACTTTCAGTCCATTTTATTGGAAATAGCCAGAACCTCTGTATCAGACTTGATGAAATAATCTTCTTCCTTGAGCTCTGGCAGAGTTGAAGAATTGAACTTGGGGGCTGAAACTCAAATGTTCTCCGAGAGCTTAAAATCATTTGCCTTCTGCTTCTGGGTTAAGCATCCAAATACAAGAGGTGCTTTACTGATTTTACTGAACTTAAAGATGTTCTCATCACTTTTTCTGTTCTGGAAGACAATCAAACTTTTCCTTTTCCTTTTCCTTTTCCTTTTCCTTTTCCTTTTCCTTTTCCTTTTCCTTTTCCTTTTCCTTTTCCTTTTCCTTTTCCTTTTCCTTTCCCTTTCCCTTTCCCTTTCCCTTTCCCTTTCCCTTTCCCTTTCCCTTTCCCTTTCTTAGATGTACTGAATATCTCTCTTTAAAGAAGGATGTTTGCTGTAGTTTCCACCCTAAAATTACCACTTAAGGCATTTCATAAAATGTCAGTCAGTCCCCCCTTTCTGACTGAACTTTGTCAGTGTAGGGGGCTGTTTCAGGTGGAATTTGTCTGATTGCTGATATCAGTGAAACAACAATACTGGGGAACACTGATGTGTCATGCAGATGGAGCAAACTCCAGGCTGCAGAGGGCACTTAGGTCCAGGTACACTCAAGCATCTGTTGTTAAATACAAGCAGAGGGCTGGTAAGAGTGGTGCAGTGAGAGGAGATAGCTCTCCTCTGAGGTCAGCTTGCATTTGACGTCAGAAAGAAGCAGGCTGGTGAGGAGCGATCTGCAGGGTGATCTGCACTTCTCTCTACTCAAGGAGGAAGGGAAATGCTGCCAGGTGGACATGGCTTGAGGCATCTGTTCCTTCATTCTCACAGTCCAGTCATGGTCCTTGCAAAGAAGTCCGGTCTTTACCCACTGTGTGAAGACCCCTGTCTAATAGCTAACTTCTTGTTGACTTTTAATGGTCTTTCTTCAGCTGGATCACACTCCTCCACCTCTTTGTTAAAATATAATGGCTTTTGTAGAAGTTAGCAATTTCTCAGGGAAATGCAATTCTGTAGTGCTGGCACCATTCCATTAATCATATAGAGTAATCTGCTTGTGCCAAAAACCTATCAAGTGGAGCTGCCTTTTTGAGAGCTGGTGGGAATGTGTACCCAGTGGTGTTCTTGCTGGCATATGGACTTCCCGTGTGTGCAAGAATGGCTGGGGCATGGGGGGGTCCCCTTTTGCTGTGCTCAGGGTACACAACTCGAGCAGGCTGAGCAAGCCTGGCAACTCTCAGGACTCAAAGTCATATGGACAGATCTTCAGAAAGTTTTATGTTTAGGGACATGGCTCCTTTTCATTCCTTCCCCTGACATTTTGAGCATAAAGGCTTAAGTCTTATTGAAATATAGACAGGAGTTCTTTTAGCCTTAAGCTCCATCAGTGGTCTTATATGTGTCAGATGGGGACATTCAGTGCTGGATGAGGGTAAGAAATATCTGCTTCCTTGGGTTTTATGATGAACTGCTGGCAGCAAAAGTAGGATTTAATGTGACCCAGCTAGAAAATGAGAAAGATCATTTTAATAGTAATGTTTATGAAGAGCTTGAGTGTTCAGCTTGGTCATCTGGGAGGAGTACAGAGTGGGGAGTCCTCAGCACTGACTCCTTTTTGGGAGGTGCACTCCTGCTGGGGATGAGCCTTGTTGTGTGGCAGCGTCCAAGCCATGTGTGTGATGTGGGCTGTGCTGATGTCCTGCCAGAGCCACCAGTGGAGGGACAGGCAGAAAGTGGCAGCACCTTTGGGAATGGAGGGAGAGACCATGGACCACGACAGAAAACAGCAGCAAAGTGGGGAGGAAGTGATCAGCTATGCGAAGTCTCAAGCCACTGAACCAGGGCATGGAAAACTTCACAAGCAGAGAGGAGCAGGGCTTGGCAAATGACAGATGTGAGGGCTGAAGGGAAATATGGAGAAAATGGTCTCCACATCAAATGGGAAGAGTTGGAAGGGGACCAGACTCATAAATTTTGTTGCCTCTCATTTTGGTAAAGGGTGGCTGTTGGTGTTGGCACAAGGCACTGCTCACTGGGATAGAAAGGGGATGAGTTGCTGCCACGTTTAGCTCATTCTGCTTAGAAAGAATTAACAATCTGTGTATAAAAAGCTGTCTGTGTATAACATGTCATCCCGTGGTGTTGCAAGGAGATTGCTGTGTTTTGGGAATGTGAGTGATGGAGCTGCACCCAAGCACAGCTGAGCAAGTTTTCCTTCAGGTGTTCTCTGTCTCTGCGTTGCGTTTGTTGCAGTTGCTTGGTGCACCAGGTGTTTCTGGACATGGGAAACCACAGTAAACACGTGCAACCTTTTCTTCCTTGGTTAGATCCCAGACGTTTCACAGTTACCTGGAGGACATCATCAACTACCGCTGGGAGCTGGAGGAAGGGAAACCCAACCCCCTGCGGGAGTGCACCTTCCAGGAGCTGCCCCTGCGCACGCGCGTGGAGATCCTGCACCGCCTCTGTGACTACCGCCTGGACGCTGACGATGTCTTCGACCTCCTCAAGGTGCTTTGGGCAGCAGGGATCAGGGAAGCTGTGTGGTCACACCAGCTGGGCCAGATCAGAATATTCCTGGCATGAGAATGGGTCATGGTTGCCTTTGCCCTCCTCTGCCTTGCACTGGCCTGCTCAGGACTTGGCCCCTTGTCCTGTGTGGGTGTATTCAGAACATGTGGGTCGCCAAGGAAATGGGCTTCATTGGCTACTCCTTCTGCAAAGAGTGAATTTGGAGATGCTTTAGTGGTAATGGCAGGGCTGTGAGAGCTGAGACTGCTGCCTTGCTGAGGGATGCTGTGAGATGAAAGGATGGGGATGAAGTATACTGGGGGAGCTGGGGGAGGGTAGCGGG